ACTATTAGGTACTTCTCGTTTCTCAATGGCTGACAGATGGTAATAACAGCGGTTTTTCATTGATATTGACTTTCAAGAGCTTGCTGACTGGCCTTTCTTTGGTTTTGACTTTGATCTGTTAATAATATTTAATTTGACAACGTCTGGTTAGTGTTGTAAAGGCGTTACAATTCTGCAGACATTTTTAATTCGCACCAATAAAAGTCTTCCGGGAAATAAAATGAATTATATTCGTGTGCAATTATTTGATCAAAGACCTGCCGAGCCTGTTAGGTTTCCGTTTTATTTCCTAGATACCAAAGGTAATTTGTTAGTTACAATTACTAATGTCAGTTTTAGGACTGAAATGGTAGACAAGGTTATCATTTACCACCTCCTGTAAACATTACCTGTATTTTTATTGTCAATCTAATATTAGAAAACGCCAGTACTAACATAGCAATAGGAACAAACAGATTCAACTAAGCTTTTTGACAAAAACCACTATAAAATTAAGACCAAAAAAGTGATCTAAATAACTTGATAATGATACAGATAGAATGGTTTAAAAGATCAAACGAGCTACCAACCTACTAAAGTTAGTAAGCAAAACGTACACAGGTACCTAAGCACAAGGTGTGGAGTAAATGTCAGTATTGGCAGGAACAATCGAGCACACAGGTGGAAGGCGAGAACATCCGCCAGATGACGGGAAGCGATCACACTGCGCACCGACACCGAGTTCAAATGCAACTGCTCTACTGTTTTATTCATACGGAATTGTGAAGTTGCCTTAATCAAAAACAAATTAATTCGACTGTTCAATACAATAAAATATTAAAAAATAACCACACTTTCATTATTTATAACCAACTTAATTTTACTATTTTTCCAGCAAAAATTTAAGAAATTTGCCTAGTTGATAAGTACTGAATTGTAGTCGTATTGAAAAAATAAATCCATAGTGCCAAAGACCTTCTAATGAATATTTGAAAGATGAAAAGTAAGAGAGATAAAAGACAGTTATCTTTTGGATTGGAGACACACCCACACACACATTGGACAGTTAATTTTTGCATATGTATAAGAATCGATTAAATCTTAGCTACTTAGAAAGTAGAATAATACCCACAAACGATTTCTATTAAAAATGCTGTTATCATAAGTGTATTATCTATATCTATATTCCACAAAGGCACCAATGGATATTCGATTAATAGGTTATGAAAAGTGTCTGATAAAATAATTATGTACCATTTTACCTCTTCTTAAAGATAGGTACGTGTCCAGTGAATGTCGATGCCAATTATTTCTTCGAAAACGACCTCAAAGCCTTTCAGTTTTAATACATTTCGTTATAAAATGTATTGAAGTTTTATAACTTAGGTACTTGTTATTTATAATTAACAACAGGAAATCGGTTACCAAGAAATTGTATATTCATTACATAATTCTATTAGCTAAGCTTCCGAGCTTCACACAAAGAAATGACAAGCTTGCAACTTAAACGCTTCATAACCAAGTACATAACTCAAACCGGAAAAGTAACTTCGGAGATGGTATCCAGCGCAAAAAAAATTGTTCGTCATCCATTGCTGGGTAACTCTAATGCGGTGTTTAATGATAAGAAGGTTGCCATCGATGTATAGCCGACGGTGAAGGTAGACATTGCGTAACAACGAGCAATGAACGAGGTATGGGCAATGACCGCTTAGAAAAAATTAGTTGAATCGGTTTGTCGCTGGTCTGATCGAGTGTCACGATCTCGAGTCACGTCACGGTCCATTGCTGGTAAGAAAGCGACAAGCAACACACAATAACCCGTAACTGGCAAACAAATTAAATTGTTACGTGGAGAAAGGGTCCATAAGAACTGATTTGAGAGGAAATCATTCAAAAATTAGATTTTTGAGAGGAATTTAGGGTTATGTTACGTAAGATTCTTCGTGTCTTGCTTTTATTTGAAAGTTAAGGGGTAATGTGTAGATCATATAGAGAAGTGGTATGAAGACAAATCCAAGAGATATTTGGAACTTAAGTAATCAAGTATAAATGTTCATTCATACGACCTTTTTTGTTGAGGGAGATAAGGAGTTAATTTCGGAGATAAATTTTTAGGGAACAGAGAGTAAAGTTCCCTAAGATCGGAAAAGGACTCCTCCGACCGGGCGAGGTGATCGTGTCTGGCGGGCTTTCTGCCCAACAGTTGTTCGTAGGGATTTTCTATCCGTGTTAATTTGCATCTAAACTTTGCATGTACGATGTAGGATTTTTGTGACGTCATCCGTTGACATGTGATATGTGTCGCCACAAATTCAATGACTCAAAAGGACAACATTATTCAGAATGAGCAGGATTCGGTTCATATGTTGTATGTCACCTACAAAGCTCAATTTGATCCTACACATCCTACACCTTCCGGGAATAGAACATGTAATACTATGAGAAACTTGTACCAAATTAACACTTACGTCAAAATAACTAGATTTGTATGGACATAAGGAAACCAAATGTCTGCTAACAGTACTTGTAAACTATACTATTTAGGTCAAGCTCATTAGCATGCAAGCTTGAAATGAATAAAACATGTCACCCAAAATATATTTAGTAGTAAACATATATGTAAATATGGCAGTGACTAATTTAATGACGTCTAGACGGCATCTTTGTAGAATTAACATCACACTTAATTTTCGGATAAGTCTGAAGTACCTTTTTATTATACATAATTATACCGCTTCTCGCCAGATATTATGGTTCCTACGTGGTAAGAATGATAGCACGGATAAATTCTTTGTAAAATGACAGAGATGGCACGATATCTGAGTAGGTACAACTTAAAATTGAGTAGCCTTACAATATTCGGGCGTCAGTATAGGAAATCATTATTTGGGTTAATTTTCTAACTTCTTTTATAAGGCACACAGTCTAGAATCTTGTTCAATGCATTGCAATACGTTCCCATATTAAGGATTCATTAAACACGTACACATTTCGGGAAATAAGAAGCGTGCTGGCTGGCATATCATGTTAATTTTAAGCAGTTGTTCAGTCAAGGTTTTCGCCATTTATCAAAGCTTCCATAAACTATAATTTTATTCCTAAATTCCTATAAGTCCTATACCCCACAAGGGGTATAAGAAAGTCCCAAGCAACTCACGCGCATCGCTAGCTCGTCGAATGCCAATCACGAGTCGGGAATGCATTGTGAATACAAAACAAGGACCGACGGGAACAAGGTTCAGTTCCCAGAGGCGGACAGAAGTCGTTGCTTGTGAATATTAATCGGTTACAGAATGACAGGTTTTATATTTTGAAGTCCTTGAAATGTTTTATTCAAATCTTTCGTATTGTCATTGTTTTAAAAATCATATGATGCATAACGTCACGTCTAATATTTACTACAAAGAGCTGGACAGAAGACTTGTTCCAAACAGGCATTTTTGTTTTTATAATAACCGTGAGTTATACTAAATTAACTAAAAATGTTTGTCGCGCAGCCTACTGAAAGCCGCGACCGCGCACGCTACTCATGAGGAAGAGCCTAGTTTCGAGCCACAGAGGGCTGTGGCTCGAAACTAGTAGAGCTTTTCACAGTATTTTCACGTGAGTAACCCGCGATTTTTAGTTGAATAAGGCATTTTTATGGTCCTAAGCTAGGTTAAGATAAAATAATAATACATAGATATTTTGAAGGTTCCGAAGTACAAAGCGTGGTAGTTATCAGATGCTGAAGTCGGCGTTATGTTATGTTAGTAAAACAATTATGATATATTTATTGCCTCTTATAAAAATATCTGAAAGACTGCGAACTTAACGGCTAATTTTAGACGTCCATTGTCTGAATGAGTAGCTGTGGCTGTAGTAGATAATATGAATAAATAAAATAGCAACGTCATTGTTACTACTTCCGTATGGTTTCTGCGTCACTTAATAGTTCTTTAGGTACTCTACTGTTAGTCGATTTAATTCCTTATTAATATGTATATGATGTTATCATGGTGGTGTTATCATCTATTACATAAGACTCAAAACATAAATAGTGAACAGTGGATATTACATTGTACAGCGGCATCAAGTGCCGTAACGTGCACCTCTGCCTACCCCTTCGGGGGTAAAAGGCGTGATGTTATGTATGTATGTAAATAAAACAATATCATAAGTATTTCATAGCCAAAATAAGCATTAGATTTTGTATAGCCTTTCCTTTACAGAATGTTACAAGGATTACTGAATCAGCTAAGTTCATTGAATTTTCCGGTTACCGAAAATGTCTCGTCATGTTTTAATATAACAGAATATTATAAGAATCTTTACATTCTCAACAGAACTTAAACTCAGCCGTGACTCAATTTAATAGCAAAACAAATTATTACAATCATTTCAATTCCCAGAACCTAGAAATACAAGGAATAGGAAGGCAAATGATCGTACACGCAGGTGAAGGTACTCAAATCTGTCAATGTTTTTACTGAATTTCCGACTTTATTTCAAAACTTTAAAGTTGAAATTCTAATACAGGAATTTAACAAAATGAGTAGATAGACGTGCTAGTGTCTGTACATAGTTTAGACTTAACACCCTTGAACGTGGCCGTCCTGTACTTTGATCCGCACAAGTTATTGCGTAATGTGCGCATGCGCATGAGTTTAAAGTTTAAACAAAGCGATCGCGGTGATGTCATTGAACTAAGAAGGCCTATAAGGTCATTGAAGGGCAACATTTTTGCATAAATTATTAGTATGGTAATTCATACCAACCCATATTTTAATAAGAGATTAAATAATCATCTTTTAAGTTAATGATTAAATAAGATTATGTTTGGTTTTTTAAGATCTTACGAATACGAATTACAAACGCAGCAAGCTTTTTATAATAGAGAATCATTTAAAATGATCCTATATTTACGTTATATGTAAAATTACGAAAATTATGAAACCAAAATAGTCTGTAACATGAGATAGACCAAAAACAAAACCTGGACCATGCATCAAAAATATTAAAAAAAAACTACTACATACCCGCTCATACCGCATGAGGTAGTCAATGATGGCATCCTTCTTCTTCTCCTTCTCCTCAGGGTGGCAGATACCGATGTTCAGCCCCATCACGATGGTCCTTAGCAGACCACCCTCGAACGCGTCCCATAGGAACTTCGGTGTGTAGCACATTATCGCCTGAAAAAACCATTCTAGATCATTCCTGGGTTCCATAATTCAAAATTACCTAAAATGGAGACTATTATTAACGTTAATTATTAATCGACTTCAAAAATGAGGTTGTCACTTTTTATTGGTCCTTTTAATGTTAGGGAACGTCCCTTAATGCCTTCAACCCTCTAAAAACTGAAAATATTTTGATGTATCATTTGATAGTTCTATCCTTAAAGAAGGTAAAAAAGATAAGATCATACTGGAGAAAGAATTACCTACTTTTCGTAAATAAACATTAGAGAAGATGATTCATTAATTATCACATTTATCACTCATAATAAATAGCTACGGTACAAAAGTGCAACATCCTATAAATAAGTCGGTCACGCTCACGATTCGTTTAGACACGTCTGTAGTAACATACTTTCAGTGTTTGACGTTTCAATTGACATGAAACGTCAATGCTAAATTGGAAATGAGAATTGATTGATGGGTATTGGACATTTTTATTAAGCTAAAATTGCTCAACTGATTCGGATAGTATTTGGCTCGGAGATAGATTTTATTAATACGTTCTTAATGTACTAAGAAAATTCTGCGGTTCTAACAGGGTATTAAATATGGTTACGTACAACATCGTAGTAAAACACCGAGCGGTCACCGGTGACCGCAACTAACCGCTATATTGTTCTATAATGACGGTACTCAACGAGTTAATATTCATATAACATAAAAATCATGTCATTTAATTTTTATTCCTCAAAAGCCGAAGCGACCATATACAACATAGTAAATGTAACAACAACGTTTCGCCAGTTACATTTCAGTATATTCAGTACCTAAATTTAAGATAAGTATTTTCAAGTTGCATGCAGGTCGCTTCCAACCGGCCTATATGGAAGTCATTGGGGGAGGCCTATGTTCAGCAGTAGACGTCCTGTGGCTAATATGATGATGATATTCAGTACAATACACAGGGCAGTAATATAAAATCAATGCTGTAAAATTTTCGGCGTCCAAACAATGTCAATAGAACTCTGACTGAGCTAGAAAATAGTTTACAACATCTTATTCGTCAGCTAGGTTAGCCACCTCGTAGAACACGAGGCAGGATTTCATACTTGGACTACCTTCCTATAAAATTTCAGTTCCCACGCACGTTAGTGCAGTGATCTCGCAATGATTGTCATGATGCGTCACGGTGTGTAGGTGCGAAGAATCGGACGATCCGTGATTTTACAACATTATTATCATTTACCATCGTTAATCGTTACGAAATATGGACCACCATGGATCAGGTGCATAGAATTATAAAATGATATACAAAAATATTGGTCTGTAAAATTATGGCACAAACAAAGTTGCCGCTTCGAGGTATATCTATTTTGTGTCTAAGCCTAATAAAAATGATGATGAAGGGCGCTTATTGTTTGTGCAGGATAAATGCGTTTCTTCATTCGTCACCTGACGCAACGTTATCCTAAGTCGAACATCTTTGAGCTTTTGCTTGTGACTTTATTACATCCCACACGGGCATTAGATAAAATCGACCAGATCAGTCATAGATTCTACTGTAGTCATAACATATGAATAAGAGGCACTTTATTATCATTCCACAGTGCACAATGGCTATCAGACAGCATACAACGCACAGTGCGCATGCGCATCTGTAAACGGCATTCGATTGTCACACCTGCCGAGAACAGTTATACTCGATAGTTCTCAGAATATTACTACGCACATCAACCCAACTCTATAACTTATATAGCAAATCTTTAATAGATTTGCTACTTTATTGTTCAATTATAAGGTTGAATTTAACTATCGTCTATAAAAAGGCCAGTATCTATTTGAGGCATCTTTGTCTGTATTTGACATATAGTTTCGTAATTTGCAAAAACATTGAGTTTACCTCGCTGCAGGAAATATTTCCTATTAGCCAATAGAAGATTCCGGATCTAACAATTTCCCTATAGAAGACAATATCCAATACCTTTTAATGAACGAAGTACATTGTCATCACCTTCACAATCTATTAATTGCCTTGCACTACAATTACATCATCTCATAAACGATAAGTACTATTTTTCCTTTATAATGGAGCGAGGATAGCCAAGTGCCACCAAGTCAGGACAGTGGTCTTCCATGGTACCGTTATGAGACAAACTGTTCGAGGACATTCCATTGAATCGTGATTAAGCTATTAGTAACTTTATGGACAGCTACCCATATTTGGGTGACTTGGTACAAACTCAGCCAGTAGGTCAACCGGTCATAGGCCTTACTCTGGTTTCGTTGCTAATCAAACTTGATTTTAACATGCTAATAAAGTGATAAACAGGTTTGCGTAAAATTTCTTCCGTAAAAGTCGTTTTTTTGCAACGCTACGCATGCGCATCTTTCTTGAATAAACGTAAAAAAGTTCGTTTTATTACTAAGAAAACTGTTATTCAAGTGTGACTTGTCACCTTGGTTAAAAACATAGTACCTAACAGTTCAAGAGAAAGTTAGTCATAAAATAAATATAAAACAAGCCATTACTATTTTTATTGTGTGAATCACAAGGATTAAATGACTAATGCAAGAGCATTATGCGTTCGATTAGAAGAAAATATACAAGAGACCGGCAATTAGCGATTAAGTGGCAAATGAATTATTAATAAGTAATTAAAACAGTTTTTATGACCGAGACAATGAATGAGACCTTTTCGTGATAAGGAGTTGTGGGTTTCCAATAATTAAGCAAGAAGTACATGGAAATCTTATTTATTTATTTATTTATATAACTTTGGAAGACTAACAGCGAGCAAAACAAAAATTAAGAAATTGTGTGAGGGTCTGACAGCTAATGACATCTCTTCACTTATAAAAAACAAACTTATACTATAAAAGAATGTGGTCGAGAATACACACACAAATTACCTCACATCATATCAGTTCAATTGCGTTATGGAACTTAATAAAAAAGGAAAGGTTCAGGCATCTCCTGATCGTAGACACTTTAGTATTAAAAAGGTCAAAATTATGATATCCTACTTATTTATTTGCTCAGTATCTTATGGATTAGGATATCCCTTTTATTGGAGATGTGATAAAAACAAGATATGATTCACCAGATGTTAGAGTTCTGTTCTTCCCTGTGACCTCAACCCTAAATGGGAACAACTTATCTTATGAGTCATGCCTCGTGACACCAATGTGACCATGTCATTTAAGGTGGACTCCCCCAGTCCTAAATTATTTCGTGACACACCCAAAAGTATTTCATAAGATTTCTTATCGCGTTTAAGAACCGATGATAGTTAGCTTTCTAATATTTATAAAAGGACCTGCACCTGCACCTCAATTATTAGTAAATAATTGTATGAATATTATATTATTATAGTATAATGTAATGGCACCATTATTATTCGCATCAATGATCACTCTAACTTCCAACAATATGCTCATCATATCTACGAATTGATTACAAGATATTTCATCAGCCTCTAAACTACTAAGCTCAGTAAATAAATAAGTAGTCATTTACTTACGAATAAGGATTAAAATGACACCACATGACGAAACACAAAATTCATTTACTCTTAAAATATCTGTTCATTCACGACAAGATTGCCTGGCCATAACAATATAATGACGTCATCGTAACAAACTAAATGTTTACAAACACGTCAAGGTGCGAACTAATGATTAGGTACTTAGTTAAAACATACCTACTCAAGTTAAAGACTTCCTTTACCTATTTAATTAAATAATTATGTTTGATGATTGTCATCTTGAGCCTGGCATCAACTTGGATTTAATGAATGCTACCAAACCAATTACACTTTATATAAGCATCTTTGCTAACTGATAATATATGGTCTATTTTAAATTGAAACTTCCCTACGATCAAAGTTAAATCAAAATACAATAAGATTTTGGGTTTGTGAGCCTGCGCCCTAACCCTATTGACCTTGTATGCATGCAGTAGATACTACCAACCTACAGTTACTACACTTAAAAGAAAAATGCATAATAATCCTAATAATAACTTTATTACTTTAGTATGCAATTTATAATAACATCTAGGAAATAAGTGTCGTGTACAAGTTAATATCTTAATCTTAAACAATGAGACAGTACGTTAATTACTGTTGTTTGTATATTTGTAACCATTGACCTTACGACCTCGGTTACATTAACATTACCACCATTACGCAATCCTAGACATGTCTGACGTTAATGTGTTTTATCTTCAGAACTTACTTAGAGTAATATGTCTTTTATTTGAAGAATTATGGATAAGTATTGTGTTAGTTGTTGGACTTTGTACAAGAGGCCTGTGAAATTAAAGTATAGAATCCTTTTAACCTACCAGGTGTCTAAACGCGGATCCAAGCGATACAATATATTTTCTTTTGTGCCTTTTATCGGTGCATTTAAGCGGTTAATAGGAAGCACGGCAGTGCCCTAAGCCAAGTTATAAGTATTTATGGTGATTCAAAAATTATATGATCACAAATATATTTTTTGTAAGTCAATGCCCAAGGCATTAAATCGACTTGTACATATGTTTTTGTACTAAGCCTAAATAAATATATTTTTTTATTTTGTATCAACAGTTGAAATGAGATCATTGTAAATCAACTGTATTAGTAGCATTTTTGTAATTAGTTTCTATTAATTGTGACATTTTTACTTTATTATGTTGTAAAATTTAACTTTGTATGCCGAAAATAGTAGGCGTAGTGTGTGGGACAATTTTTTTATAATTATTATTACCTGTAATTACCATACTTCGTGCAAATAAACGTTCTTATTCTTATAACTAGGCGTTTAACTAAAGCACCAAGTTTAAGCTCTGAATACAAATGAGTTTACCATAAAAATTTACAATAGTATTAAAATACAAACTCACCTGGAAGAATAGCACAAAGCACACCCATTGGTAGTACGTGTAGTACTTCTTCTCTTGTGTGCTATCGTACTCATTCGCTACACCAGGGTGCGCCACCTCCTTGCCAACCTGCAACCAATGATAACCATAAGAAAGTGGAAATTATGAACGCTCAAATCTTCATCACCAGCCCAATGCCTGACAACCTTAAGGAGGTTAAAAACACAAAAGGGTGGATGGTTTCGAAAGAGGCTTAAATCTTGATGCGCCATAGAAGAGGTTTATGTTCATAGATACGTTTGGCGGTTGGATTTTATCTGTGATTACACATGTATGACTCCGTGTAGACCAATCCGAGTCCTCCATATTTGAGATTGCAATTTGATGTAAACAAATGAAATGGAAAATTATAAACATCATGTGCTATCTGACTCAAATACATACATGTTATGGGGATTTATTCATAGAAATGACTTCACATTTTGGTATACATCGAACTAACTTAAACTTACAGCTAGGTAATAAATAATGTAAGTTACGATGATAACAAACGATTTAGATAAATCTAAATTTTAAACTGAATACTGAAACAGGCCATCAAATTTAAAATTTATGGACAATCGAATCAATAAATAAATTTTATTCTAACAGAAATAAATTTCAATTTATAGTTGTTTGTGACTTCTGGTAGGTACTCTGAATAATGATTACCTGATTTTCCATGAAAGTACAATATTTCTTCAACTTCTATGTCATTATACTTTACTCAATCTCACTAAAATGTACCAACATGTGAATAGATTTAAATGTAGTGTGACTATAGTAAAGTCCTCGAATTAAATCATGAAATCAGACTGAAGTAGGCATCAATGATAAATACGTTCATACATTATTTAAAGTTTCAGTATATTCCACCTGAATTGTATGAATTTCAATATATTTATTAGAATTTCAATTCAGATTTGATCTACATTTCGAAAATATCGCATTACCTGAAGCGTGTAGAATATTCGAACACATAGGGGAGACAGGATTTTAAAGACACAGAAATAGTCTACACGTTTCAGCTATCAAAACCTAAACCAATAATGGCCATCGCGTTTTTATAGGGTAAGAATCCCATAACACTAGTTCTTCTGCTCAAAAAGCTAGGCACCTTTTGGAGGCTATCCCTTACCAACAAATAAAAAGTATCCATACAGTTTTATATCTGACAAGCCCGTCACAAAATAATAACAACGATGTCTGAATACGCACAATAGCAATTGATTAGTGTGTCGTAGTCAGTAACAATGAGCAGGAGACAAGTGGACGCTGACCTTAACCAACACACCCATGTATCTGGCACGAATTGACGGTACGATTGTGTGCGGTTCGCGAATCTCTGCTGAATTTTAGGGATGCCCTGATCTGTGAGGGATATTTTATTTTGTATGGGATAAGCCGGGAAACGAACAGACGCATCACTTGATAGTAAGCAATTGATGCCGACCATGTTCACCTGAAAGACCAGAGGCGTTATATGTGCTTTACCGGCCTTTTGGGAAAAGACTAGGGAAGGGAGATTATTGGGCTTACGGTAACCTCACTCACACGACGGAACATAACACAAGCGTTGTTTCACGTCGGTTTTCTGTGAGGCCACTCCGTCGAGCTGGCCCATTCGTGAGGAAGCATGGTTCTCCCACAGTAAAAAAATAACCTATTAAAATTCATATATTCTGTCAGTTTTAATATTAGTTCGTTAGTTACTAGCTGGTAGCTACAGATACAGACAAAAAACTATAATTCGATTATAGTTGACTTACTAAAACAAAAACAGTCGCAGATAGATACTTAATTTTAACACCATGTGGACGTTTTAAAACGCATCAAAATCCAATTAAATGTCGATTTTAATTAGATATCTGGATCAAAAACAGTGGCGATGTTAACACTGTGGTGAAGTGTTTAAAAACAATATATTAGACATACAAAATGTAGGTAAGGAAATCAGTTTTATATTCTACTAGCTGCTTCCGCGCGGTTTCACTCACTCTGCTCGGCGCCTAATAATCGTAGCGTAGCGTGATAGTTTATAGCCTATAGCCTTCCTCGACAAATGGACTATCTAACACAGAAAGAATTTTTCAAATCGGACCAGTTGTTTCGGAGATTAGCGCGTTCAAACAAACAAACAAACAAAAAACAAACTCTTCAGCTTTATAATATAAGTATAGATTTAAAGCAAGAATGTGGAGGTACACACAATATCTTAGACGATCTTTATTTTGTAACTAATTTATTATTGCCTCATTTATGTAATTACTAGCGTCTGGCACCGGCGTCGCATGCGTTGCAAAGGGATAAAGAATAGCCTATGTGTTATACCAGACCAGAATCTACCTCCATTTCATCCCGACATCCACTTTCACGCCGTAACTACTAAACCGATTGCTTTGAATTTTTGCAGACGTAAAGTTAGAAGTCTGGATTAAATAATAGGGTACTTTTTAACCCGGAAAAAAATTATATTCTAGAGGGAAAACGAAATTATTGGTATAGATGGCGCTGTATGTATTGTGACGCGAGCGAAGCCGCGGGTAAAAGCTAGTAATAAATAAAAGAGTAACTAATGGAGTTTCTTGCTCGTTCTTCTTCGTTCGAATCTACATTTTGGAATGAGCACATAGCTTCACTGACGGACCGACTGACAGACTGAATAATAATTCATTTTGTATTTTGTCGACGTTTCAAAATCACCTACCTAATTATGGGTTAATTGAAATAAATGCTTAAAAAAATAAATAAACATTCCCATTTATAATATTAGTAGGATTTATGGCTTGAATTCATAATGAAGGTTTCAGTTATAGTTAGTATAAATAACTGTCCTCATTTTAAAACTATCAATTAAAAACTATTAATAATAAACCTATTAATTACAAAAAAAAAATAAGCATCTGGCCTGATAGCTAGTTAATGCAATAATCTCGTAACTAGAGTTGATCACAATAACTAAAACTAACTAGCAAATGACCAAAAACCTAATCTTAACGCCAATTCGATGTACTAATTCCAGATTCAGTTCCCGTGTATCAAACATCACTAAAAACATTTCTGCTGTTTTACCAACCCTAAGTTACGCGTGCCCAATCAGCTCAACGCAAGAGAGGAAGCGCGCAGTTGCGAGAATCTGCGCGCGCGCAATTGACAGCACCTACCCGACTAATACTGTAATGGACGGTGATTTGCGCTCTAATGGAGATGTAGTAGCAGATACTATTATAGTATTGAGCACACGATATAAATAAAACCACTGCATCAAGTAATTTAACATGGTGTACGGGTAAACACCGTATCAAAAGAATTTTGTAATCACTAAGTATTAGGACACTTGTTTAAACAAGTAGGATTACAGCAAAATTCTACCTTTTAGTTCATTGAATAGAATATAAAATCAATTACCATTTACAAGTAAATGTATTTACTTGACCGCCTTTTAAGTTGACCAAATTATTTACATGGCACTTTAATAAGTAATATACGTTATTACTTCATGATATACGACTGATTGTTTTCATGTATGTTTACGCAAATTTCCAGGTCAAATAAAGCATCATAATAATATCTACTTTAGTACAGACATAAACAACAACTTTAACTATATTCGTTGATACAGAGACAGACCTACTTAAAAGACCACCTCGCAGATATAATTTCATCAACTGTATTTTTGGTTTGGAAAAGTTATTGTTACCAAATTAAATGCTACATGTTCGAATTTTAGAATACACTAAAAAACACAACATATAAATATACATCTGTACGCACATATATTATCAGATCAACAACAATGGATTCTTTGGAAAGGAGATAAAGCCAGCCATGCTCTGTCCGTATGGAAGCGACAAAGAAATCGGAAGCGACACCTGATTCGCGGAGGTGCTGGCAGACGGCCAATATTGTGTGACAAATGTTACCATTGTAATTAATTCGGTGTAGACGTGCACTGACACCTACATGGGAGGCCGATGTTCTCATATTATGACATAATGTAACTTATGGTTGATTTCAAACTTCCTATTCAGAAGAACGTACGTTTTGGTATTTCGCTCGAACTGCAAGAATCTTGGTAAACGTACTACCAGGACTTTTAGAAATTTCTCACTGATTTTAACCGTATTTTCAATAGTCTTCCGTAAACCTCTGTTACACGTGAAACTTCAAGCTTTTTATTCAGTTTGAGATCATGCTACGTAGGTGTTTCAAAAGCAAAATAAATAATTTTGAATTCCAACGAAAGACGTACTGAACAAATCAGCAAAAATATAAACCACACATTGTAATCCAGAGATATCTCTAGATATAATATTCTTACATAATATTAAACAAGCATATTGACATATTCGGTTACTAGGATATTCGGCTAGTGAGGGGAGTGCTACTCCTTGGATTACTCCTTCAAACGGTAGGAAAGAGTACCAATTAAGCAGAGAGCCCTCAAACTCAAGTGGAAGACTATAAGTCTGAGTTGTTAGGAGTTTAATGCAGCACGTTGCCAATTTGAAATACCCTACTCAAAGATGACAAAAGGGAGATGAAGTTCAGCAAGTATTAGATACTAGTTACTTGCTAGTTTAATGTATTTGGAATTTGAAGATCGCGAACATTGGAAACAAACTTCGCAAAGGGCTTTTCTCTGAGTAACTAAAGCAGAGCTCTTTAATGGCGCTTAAAGATTTTTACCTTAATTTAAGGCTGCTCTTTCATTTAAGACCAATAGTGTTTCCAGAACATAAAAGAAAATCTAATAAAATGTGACAACTCACCTCTCTGGCGAAAGCATCAGGCATGGTAAACGTGGACGTGATCCAGCAGAATGTATTGACGACATTTGTAGGCAGGCCACTGACGATGCACTGTATGGGCTGCCCGACATACTGGGTCGCGGTTATGATCATGGAACATGTGAGTAAGAGCACTGTCGTGAACACATTGTGCAGCCTGAACACTGCATTATCAGTCCTAATTGGCTGGTACTTGAAGTAAACACTTAACCCTCCTAATAACTTAAACATTTTGCCTTATCCCGGCTTCTTGCTATCTATACATCGAAAGTTATGTGTGACACTACTCAAAATCAGTCTTGTTTTTGTTTATTGCCGCGGCAATGTATCGCGTTTATTGTCCAGTGTGCTTCGTATCTGAAACAAGAAAGAAACGGTTTATTAGACGACAAACACTTGATCCTACAAAGACAATTTAACTATTTATAAATAGATCTTATGAATCTTAATAAATTACAAGTGATTCGACATCGTAATAGAGCAATTTTCGTAACATTTTTCTTCTTAAAGAGAATTATTTAATTCTTACTTAATTCTTGTTTGTGTTGGTTCAGTCAGGATTAGTTTAGAAGCTCATTAGCTACTACGTATTTAGAGGAAAAGAGCAATCATTTATAGCCATGGATGGTTAGCCATTTAATTAGTGGTATATTGTGGTATACTATTTAAAGTACATATTTATTCATATAATACCTAATACTTCAAGTGCTAATGATTCATGGTATTGTATAAGAATTCTAGTTAGAACAACATAATATTATTGTGGTAAACAAATCCAATGATGTAACTTATGATTTTTCCTTCTGATAACTAAACGGGACTAATGACATACCTACTCCTTGGAAGAAACATATTATGCAATTTGTAAAAAATAATATATTAATCTTAGAAAACGCTACATCGCGATACGGCAACCGTACAATCAAAGCTAATATTATTATGAGTTTTTAACCGCTTGAATGCCCGCATATGAGACACGATAAAAAAATGATTGTGTCTCGCGTGAATCCACGTTTAGACACACGACGGGTTAAACTGCCACACTAACATTAGAACCTTATTATATATGATATTTCGGTGTACTGAGTGTTACTGAAGTGTCATGATCTTTAACAAACGTAGGTACTTCATCAAAGTTTTAAGTGGGATTAATAGTGATAGTGTACATATTTATGAATGTTACCTATCTTCAATACCTACTAAGGGCTCTGCACCACGAAGTAGATAAAATCTTTCATCCAAAAGTCCAGGATTACCCTAACAACAGCACCTAGCAATCAATAAGTTACTCAAACAGGCTAAAGAAGCACGTTTTGTCAGTTAGTGACATCGCGTGACGGTGTGCAATGTAAGTAGCATAGTAATAACACAGGATACGAGCACGTAGCATTGATAATGTACAGGTAGAGTAACTAGTGAGCACGACATGATGCCACATGTGATGGTTCGATGTAGGTGAGTGCACACATGAGGGTTATAATTTGGTCAGTTGGTACTTCATTCATAACATACTCTTACTAAAATGTGCTCAGGATTTGGAACCAAAAGCGACTAGGCATCTTGCAACTTTCAATATTCTCCGTAGGACCAGTCAATTACAAAGTTTCTTCTACAATTTACAAAGTGGACTCTACTATCACAGTTCAAGTGATTTTGTTTTCGTGTTCAAGCCAATAATGCTGTAATTAAGCTTCTACGTACGATGTTTACAAAACTGCTAATCAAAGTGTATGCGATTGATCCCACACATTTGGATTTATCAGTACAAATGAACACAAATATCGACAGCCACTTGTAAACCCCTTGGAGCCAGTTAGTCTTGCGAGGGGGACGACTAAAAAGGGGTGAATTTTCTGTCGATCCATTAATAAAGGCTGCTGCTCAGTCAGTTCGTCAGTTATATTTTTATTGCCTACTACAAATATAGGTACATACATTCGTACTTTTTGGGTAGGGGGAGGTATCATCCAATGACTTCTCTCGCATTGGATAAATCGAGAGAGAATCAGACTCTTACTGACTAAAAACCACCCCGATCCTATTCTTGCTTTGAGCGACATACGATAGGTACCATTGCTCTTTTCCTTTTCATGAGATAAATCTGATTATACTATTTATTATAATAATATTGCAAGCAAATTATTAGGTATTTCTCTTCAGAACTAACCGGCTCTCTCATAACATAATGAAGTTATTCAATAACAAAATTATATACAATAATATATCATCAGTTAGTACCTCAATGGTGTGGTTTAGAATAAAGATCTTAGAAATAATAAAGATAAGGATCACATAGGCAATTATCTCTATAAATATAGGTGAACAGCACACATTTATAGTTAAACTATTTCGTTAATTAATTACAACCGATATTTCTTTAGTAATAAGGTTGAGTTTCTTTCACTGGAACGGTGAACAGTCTTGCGTTTATGAATGCGTATGAGCAAAGTAGCGCGGTCAGTAAAGGAGGCTGTTAAAACACAAAGTTCAATGACCTCTGTTATCGCGAGACCATAACTAAGTGCAGCTCGTTAAGATTACAATTAATTTGTTATGCACCATATGCACTGTACCTGGTACCTGGTAATAAGAACTAACAAAAAAAACGTAACTCTTGTCGATATCGATGAAAACAGAACACATATTAAACTGTCAAACACCACCAAGCGGTCACCGGTGACCGCAACCTATTGTTCTATAATTGTGTCTACAAAACCGGTACTCGACGAGTTAATTAGTCATTATGCCTTGGCTTCGTCTTAAATTCTTGGATCATTATGCAATAAGTACATAATTAAGTACTCCCTGCAGTTTGTCTACAGCTTATAACAGAATTGGAAAATTAGAATAAATGACATGAAAAAGTTGTATTAGGTATATGTAAATCGCGAACAACGGTTTTTCTAGCCCGTATTTAACTATTAGGTACATTGTGATTTCCCCACATTAAAATAGGTATACGGGAACAAAGGACATAAAACATTGAAAATAAAAAGTATTCACGTCAATGACCACATAAATGTAGGAAAAAACTTCATACCATTACATGTAACTAGCCTGTGTTTCATGATTACCTCATTGGCAATTTGGTCCCAACTGCAACAATCTAAGGTCTCGTATTACCCGTAAATACGACAGCTGTCCAATTTGATACGATCAGAACCAAATTAAGATTTTATATAACAAATACTTATCATTTAATTTTCAGTCATAATCATCCCACTGCAAGGCCACCCTCCTTCCACTCATCTCTGTGTAACGCTTGCTGCGGCCAATCGTGGTCATAATAACAAATATATTTAACAAATATTAATTTATCTTATTGTTGTATGTAATTGTACACATAGAGGGTTATTAAATTAATAAATATTTTTTATTTTATCTATACTAATATTATAAAGCTGAAGAGTTTGTTTTTTGTTTGTTTGTTTGAACGCGCTAATCTCCGAAACTACTGGCCCGATTTGAAAAAATCTTTCTGTGTTGGATAGTCCATTTATCGAGGAAGGCTATAGGCTATAAACTATCACGCTACGATTAATAGGCGCCGAGAAGAGTGAGTTAAACCGCGCGGAAGTAGATAGCTAGTATTAAATATACTTAAACATGAAATGTAGCATGTCTATTTCACGGCACAACAGAAGCTTTCTGTGTCTGGAGATTGTAGGGAGGAGTGTTATGCGCAACTTTGCTGTTAACCAGGTGGACAAAGTGAGCATAACATATTACAAACCATATTGAAATTGAAAATATTACTTTATTTATACTTTAACCGATTATTACAAGGTTGAGCTTGTAAACTATTAGCAATATTGTAGTAAAATTGATTGTTATATAAACAAAAATATTAATACACGCAACAACATTACTGCGACTACTGCGAGTATTTATGATTACTAAACGATCGACGATTGAAACAAGAAATCTTTTACCGTGCTTTGTAATATTGGTAGTATTTATTTCAAGGGTTATAGGTACTATAAAAAAATACGTTGTAAAAACTAGAAAGCTTAATTGTTTACCATGGTTATAAACTCTTTGCCAGAAAAATGATATTGGGGTGAACTACTAGTATTTTGTATGCCGTGGGAATACTGAAATACTGAAATACTAGTATTTTGTATTCCGTGGGAATACTGAAATACTAGAGGTATATCGAACTAACTTTAGAATGAGGGAACAAAGAGTGCACCTGTGTTTGCGTACTCACTTGCGCACTATAATATCTCCTGCATAGTGGGCTAGCCAAGTTATATACTTCGCACCATGGTCGAAATCTGATGACAGAGATCACATACGTGTTTTTTTATGGCATAAGCCAGTAAACGAGCAGACGGATCACCTGATGGTAAGCAATCGGTGTCGCCCATAGACACCTGGAACACCAGAGGCATTACAAGTGCGTTACCGACCTTTCGGGGATTAGGAGTTTGAGGATCGTTGGGGATTCAGGGATTGGGGAGATTTGGGAAGGGGAGGGTAATTGGGCCACCGGCAACCTCACTCACACGACGAAATACAACGCAAGCGTTGCTTCACGTCGGTTTTCTCTGAGGCCGTGGTGTCAATCCGGTCGAGCAGGCCCATTCGTGCCGAAGCATGGCCTCTCACACACTTAGACGCATATCCGTGTTACAAAAACTTAGTAATAAGGATATGCATAATAATATATTACCAATGTATTTACCTCTGACCGACCCATGAGCAATGTATCAGATCAATGATTCACTGTTCCTGGTTTGAGTTAGTCACCAATCCGTGGTTATATTGTGTAAGTGCATACAATTTAGCTTTAGTAATGCCTAAATGCTAAACACTATTTGGAACACCCCTGTTTAATTTCCAATATGGTCGTACTCAAGTAGAAAAAATTTAAATGAATTTTCTAAATATTCTTAGCATAATGTTAGATATACATATAATTCTAATATTCATTTATTGGTTATTTATGTTATTTTCTAAATTAATTATTATGTTTTTCACTCACGTAATTATTTGACGAGGAACCCGACTAGTTTCAAGCCATGCTAGAGGCTCATATTCATGAGCAGCGCGTTTCGCGACCAGAGACGCGGCGACTGTCGCGCTGCTATTACGTGACTAAGCCAAAAATCATAATAATTAATTATGTCTCACGAAAATTTTTAACATGAATTGTATAAACATCATCTATATTGACCATCTTTAGGATCCAAGATTTGAGTTCAAACCTAATATCAGAAAAGTATTACTTATTCAAGTTTTTGTATTAAAGAAGCGTCAGTAAATCCATCCAGTTCAGAATTGTACTTGTACCCAATATTTAGTAATAGACTCGCTATCATGAACTTGTAACAAGTATCATAACTGGCGAATAG